ATATATATATAGTAACTATTTTTAGCCATTGTATACAGTATGTATAACAATGTATTAAAGACAATGTGAACTTCACATGTTTTCAGTAAAAATGTGAGAGACTTGTGCTTCATAAGAAAAAAATGGAATATGTACAGTATGCAATGGTGGCACCAGAAAATTTGCAAATAGGGGTTATAACAATTCTGAGAGGTCAAAACAAAGGGCCACCCCTTGATCAGGGTAATGGAATAAAATCCCTGGCAAGGTTCATGGGTAGAGATTATATGGTTTAGGGTGGCCCAAAATTATGCTTTTAGACCACAAAAAAATAACTTTGTTTGGATAGGCAAATAGTTTTAGACCGATGATCCTGTTGTAGCATTGATGGAAACAATACCTCAATCTCGACTGGTGCCACTAGGACAGTAAAGAAGAATAGAAAACAAATTTAGGATTAATTCTTGGGGATATAGTGAAAATTAGACATCACATTGATTAGAAATGACAAAATCAAAGAACAAAAGTAGGATTAAAACTCACAATAATATTGTCAACATCAATATAACTATATGTCAACATCTATTTTAAGAGCATATTATGCTCTTAAAATAGATGTTGGCATATAGTTTTAGTTATAGTATATAAGTTTGTAGGAGTGTAGAATATGAACTAGCTCATAAATTGGACATATTTTAAGAAACTAAAGCCAGTTACACAGTGCATTGGCTGGTTGGCACTCAGTGCTAGTGCTTCACGAAGCGAAAATATCTGCTGATTGTTGGTGAAAGTGTGCTCCCGGCATAAAGCAACTGAGGCAGAGAATTTGTTATTGTTACTTGGCAAAACTGCATTTCATTAATTTGATGTATATACAGTATGATTCGCATTCTTAAATTATTGGCATTTATTTACCTATTTATTGCTTGTAAAATTTGAATGCTAAAATTATTCATTAAGTATTGAATCATGAAGAAATTTGAAATTGCTTAATAAATAATGTACTATAAAATTGATGAGACCACCTCCCAGTATTTGGTCCTTTAAAAAGAATTATATTTATATTTAGGTTTCTCCATTGGGTCTACTGTTTTTATGAAGCTTAAAATCATGCTTCGGAGGAAAAAATACCAACAATTATTTTTTTCTCCGGAGTCTGACATTAAGGGTCTACTGTGTTTATGAAGCTTCAAATGGAGGAGGCTGTAACATCTTCAACTTTAGGCCTATAAACTAAAATTTTAATAACATGCCCATCCCTGCTTAGACTTGATTCACTAAAGAATTGGTTGTCATTTTAGTATCCCACAATAGTAATAAATTGTAGCATTGTGTTGTGCCTGTTTGCTATAATTGTTTACCACTGGTGCTTTAATATTACAACATTGCCATTATTATTTTTAATAGTACAGTACTACTATAAGGTACTTTATGAATAATCCAAAGTAATATCAGCTAGCTGTTATGGTCTTACTTTTTGTTAAATGTAATCTGGGAGGAAGGAGAGAAATTAATAACTTTAGTATTAAGTCTAGCTTATTGTGAATACTTAACATATCTATTTTAGTATGATTATAAAATTCTTGTGTGTGTATTTCCACTTCCATGTATATTTGTATTCATTGTTGAAGATTTTAAAACAAATATTACTGTAATTTTGTTATGAATTATAATTACACACAATGTGATTGTGTATGGTTTTTAATCACATGCTATCCTTGTTGCTCTTTTCATTAGTAAGGGTCTTTTTTATGTTGTCTTTCTTCAGTGGTGGAACACCTTTGATCTTTCACTAGTTAGAGCCAGGAGCCCAAACCTTATACCGCTTTAGAAATAGGGCCAAGAGATATTAATTGGCATTACCTTCTGCAAGATTATGGGCCACAAATCAAATGAGCCGTTCCCCTTAAAATATCAAAATACATCATTAAAACTTCAAAAGCGTAGTCTTAGCCCCAAGGGTTATAGGGACCAAAGGCCTCTTAGTTACACCACTGTCTTTATCAACTGGGTATAGACTGGTAATATTTTAATGACAATGCACTGATTACTAGGGGTGGTGCCAGGATTTGCCCGATGTGGAGGCTGTCTCCCCAACATGAGCGCTATCTCCCAGAAGTAATTCATGTGGCCCTGGAAACTTTGACAGTTTAGTGGTGTCAAAGATTTTAGAGTCTACTAATATGTCAAAAGTACATATTTGTTCTTTCTGACGAGTTACCAGTTCTCCTCAACAGGACTCAGTTTTTCCCGACAGGGTTCCAGCTCTTCCTGACAAGACCCCCACTGGCGCCATCCCTGTTCCCATAGGCAGATGAGTGATGACAGGCTGATATTTTAATACTGTATTATTGAATAATGAAAGTATTCTTGTTTTTACTATGCAATCTCTAAAGAATAATATGAATGCACTGTATATGTATACATTCATGTTTGGTTAAACAAGAAATTGTTTTAAATACTCGTTTGTATTCTTTGTTAATGACACCAAGTGTTTCAAATGTGTCTGGTCTTTGTACTTTATTTATGAATTTGTAATGTAATACTGTACTAATGTATTAAAGTTACAAGAGATTTAGATGAATGTGGATTATATTTGGTGAGAAATATAACAAATATTTGACTATCTTTACAACGAAAATTGTGTTTACTTGATTCTGTAAGTTTCACTTAATTTTCTTTTGCATTTTGAAGCTGTTTTATGTACGCTACACCACAAACATCCACTTTCAATGAACTACTGTATCCGCCTGTAAATTTGATTGAACTATATGGTCGATAAAATCGGAAAATACTGCTTACATTAAATATCTCATTTATAATAATAATTTCCAATAAAGAGACATCGTTTTAAATTACAGACCATAAATATGGCGCCTTGAGACGATTTTATTGTGGAAGGCGCACTACAAATATCCCACCATTACTATTACCATTATGTAAGCCACCCTCCTTTTATTATGACTGAGTGACCCTTTCCGCAGACCCAGCGCACATGCCGTGTCATTTAAAAATCTTAAATGTGTATAGTAAAGGCCAAATCAGGCAGCGTTGTACTACACAGCCCGATGCGATTCATCGTCAGGGACAGTATTGAGCCATCGTGAGAAATATTAAACATGTTTAATATTCTATGAGGGTCAGACGAGCTAACGCTCTAGTCCTATGGTTCAAGGAATTCAAGGCAGGACGTATACAGCGGGTAGGGGGCCCCGAACCGTGGGAGCCGCAGCAATGCCCCTTCCCCTCCCCTTGTACACAGTGTTAACAAATTTTAAAGCTTGTTCTTGCTAGCCAATACAAATTCTTTCCAGTGATATCACTTAAAATTAATACTTCTAAACTATGTAATGCATCATGCACATGTTATACATAGGCCTACTAACATGAGCCTATTCGTGATTTTAAAAAAATCTTAAATTCATAAATTCCAGGCCAGGTATTTTCAGATACAGAAATGTGATATTGCATCGTTCAGTTTGGTTTTTATCCTTTTGCAAGCTCTATAAAGTTTTGTTTTTAACAGTACTATTAGTTAGTGGTAGTAAAAATAATGATGATGACGATGATGATGATGATGATAGTGATAATAGATATAATAATATTAATAATATTAAAAAGTGAAGAAAATTGTGCTAAAGGCGAAAAAGTAATTGTGATTTGTTGATCATAGTAAGCTATAGTTAGGCCTAAGTTGTCCTGGATATTAAGTAGATCATCCCTGATAAAAAATCATGAGAAATTTGTTGGCACTTCATTTTGACTGTTGTTAGACAAACAGCTAATAAATAGGCCTACAGTATATCAACTGTTAGAAAACCCGACTAATAGATAAAGACTGTTAATATAATTTATTATTATTATTAATATTATTATTAATTATAAATCTAAGATTGCCTAATTTGATGATGTAACCAAATTCATTCATTTAATAAAAAACTCATTTCTTTTTTTAACACCTATGTCAAAATCCACAGTTGTGTGATATTACAGCAAATGCAAAACAAATCATATTATTGTCATAAATCGAATAGGCCTATTCTGAAAAATATTGGATAAAGATAGACAAAAGTAGTGAGCCCTCTTATAAGATCCTTTGACGTTACCCCAGTCACGTACCATAACCACCAGAGACGCACACGCTGGCCATGGCGGAGGCGAGGAGATTATTTTCTCCATGAGGAGACTAAATACTGTTTAAATAAACTGTCATAATAAACTGTGATGGTGATGTGTGTGTAGGGCCTAAGGTTGTTGGTAAAGCACACGTCGTGATGTGTCAATCGAAGGTTTTGCTAGGCTTAGGATGGATTTTATGTTTTACGTCCTTTGCCTCTTTTATGGTGGAGGCAGGTCTATTGACTGAACGCAAGGTATGTCTTTTTGACATTAGATATTTGTCTAGATAGCCCTTCTTTAGGCTAAAGCAAGTACCGCACACATGAGGCTCATGACTAAATCGGCAGGATTTGTAAAAAACCCTGTCGCCAGTAATTATTGCATTATATATTATAAATTAGATAATAGATTGATTTTTTTGCGTTACCGTGGTATTATAAATGTTAATGTTAAGTTTTGTGAAGTTTCACTTTTGTAGTCCTTTTACTTACGAAGTAGTTGCTTCTTCAAAGTTCAAGATGTTAACAAAAACCACGTGTCGCCCACCATTTTTATAATATTTAGGACTATACAAACTAAACAATTAACACTTTTATATGTTAATTTTTGTAAATTCTAAAGCTCTGTCTATTCATTTTTACGTATGTAAAACGTAATTGCACCAATCGGCATTATGTTTTGGATAATTCACAAATAAAAAGTGTCGCCAAAATGACGTAACTTACGTTACTGACATCAAACACGTATTAAACATCAATAAAAATATCACTATTTAATGTTTAATTTCTTCCAATATATGTGATACATACTCTAATTATCATTTATAATACCTAAAAGAACATAAATTATGTCAATTTTTTTTAAAAAGCATTGGAAGTGCTAAAAGAAAAACGTATGGTTAAGAGGCGTAACCTATGTTACCCTATTTCATAGAAGTGCTCAGCATTCTGTACATAGAAGTTCTAATAGATAATGACAGTATTACCCAAAGCCCAGTTTCAAGCTGAATATTTGTTTAGAGATTTAAATTTTATTTAATTGAGTCCTTAAACTCAAGATGAAACCTACGTGATAGTAACTTACGTTACCATATACATAATCACCCACGAATTTTAATATTTGTAATGCATTCCTAAGCATGAAAATACACAACACAAAAAAAAATGCCCCCTGGAGCAAGAAAAAGTTTTAAATCATGTGATCAGGAAACAGCGGCAATTTTGAACACATTGTTTTTAGTTACTCCTTAGAATTTTGCGATTTTGTTGAACACTGGGATATTTGCGAATATATTTTGGTAAGTAATCAATGCTTTATTTACTAAAGATCATTTATAATAACAGTTTCAAATGTTTAATATTAGGTTTGACACATGTATGGGTCTTGTTAATAGCCTGTGCAACTTACAGTGGCAAGATAACCCATGCCATAATGTAACGTAAATTACATGACTGGTAACGTATGTTACCATTTTGTATACCTAAATTGTATGTCATATAAATTTACTTATAATTATTATGTGTTCAAATAATTAAAGTAATATAATATAGGTAATATTAAATCGTACTTATGACTAAAAATTGATTACCTAAGAGGTATTTTCTGTGAGGATTATCGCCTTTAATTTAACGGTAACGTAAGTTTTACATTCATTTTCATGTATACATTGTAGCTGACGCAGCAAAGAAACATTTAGGATATGAATATAATTAAAGACACTGAATGAGTATACATGTATGTATATCAATATCCAAGTTACGTAAGTGCAGTGAAACATTATCTTTATATATATTAATATCCGTAATCAAATTGTCAAAATAGTAACGCAAGTTTCACAATGTATTACATACAGAATCAGTGTTTTTTGTTTACATTATGATGATACACATATAAATTATTAATTTCCTGTATTTAATAATTCATGTTCCAATTGCAGAATTCTTGCAATCGGAAGCAAAACGTGTCAAGAAATACTATATCCCGGCTGCACAACTTTCAACTAAAAATAGACAGGCAAGGAGAGAATCTGTGAGAAAAAGAGTACAAAAGCACAGAGCATATGTAAGACAAGTTCAAGCTCAATCATAACAACGATTGGAGGAAGCAGATGAAATCAGTACTAACGATGATTCTGCCATATCTTCTGATGTAGCCTCACAAGCTAGTCACTCACCACTACGCATCAAGATGTCTTTTAAGAGATGCATTTCATCACGAAAGCGCATAAGTAGATCATCATTAGTAGAGCCCATCGTCGCATCGAAAAACTTAATCTGCAGTTCCAGAGAGTTAATAGACAAAAGAAAACAGCCACCAAACACTATGAAAGAGCAATGAAGAAAGTTAATAAAGTAATATCTTTGACCAGCAACGAAATATTAAACAGCAGTACCCCACGGTCAATCGTAAATCGCTTCACAATGAAGTACTAAACTTTCTGGAAAGAGATGATAACCCCAGGATGATGCCAGGAAAACGAGATGCTTGCAAAACATCAACTAAAGAAAAACGTCAGATCCGTTATCTTAATGATTATATGATGAACCTCTTCTAAAAGTATAAATGTGAGCACCCACAGCAACGGAAGGTTTCCTTTTCTGCCTTCAAGAAAATTTGACAGAGAAACTCTAACATCAAACTTGTTAAATTCACCGCAAGGAACACAAGCCTATGCCAAAAGCACCAGACCTTTGCACTTCAATTAAAGGTGTTAAAGTCACTAGGTGTATTCAAAATCACAAGCCCAGATGAGGCCATCAAGTCGATTTGAAGAACATCCACTATTGGACGGGTAGCCCAACGTCACAGTATGACAACAAATCAATATTTTCCATCATATCTCATCATCCGTCCTTTTCCCAAATGTATATGCAAGTTGGGACTACTTTGAGGCCGGACACGAAAACGGGCCATGTGAGGGTATTGGCGGGACCGTAAAACGCTTGGCTGACGAAGCTGTGAAAGGGGGTGTGGCCGTGATACAAGACGCCAATGATTTCTTTGCGTAGGGCTTGCCAAGAAAGAGAAACATCGGATATTGAGTACTTTTTCGTAGCTAACGAGGAATGCATTGCTGCAGAAGACGAAATTCCACATAGGTGGCCAACATAAGGGCTATTCCAGGGACGATTAATATTCATGCTGTGAGAAGCAGCAGTGATGGAGTAATGGTAAGGAACATATCTTGCTATTGTAGCGCCTGCAAAGAAGATTCTGGCATTGAGAATAAGTGCGACGGATGGATGCTACATAGCCTAACTTCTAGAAGCCTTAAGAAGGTATTAAACAAAGAAGATAAAAGTCAGAATAAAGTTCATGTCGATGACTGGATATTCGCATTATACGATGGAAAATGGTATATAGGAAAAGTCATTGAGGTGGACGACGACGACGCGTTTGTTTCGTTCCTAAAATCTGGAAGCAGGATTGGCGAGAACGTCTTTCAATGGCCTAACATCAAAGATGAAATATGGATTCCTCTTGACAACATAATTTACCGCTTTCAAATCGAAAGAAAGGGTTGCAAGGGTAGGTGCTTCCATATTTCAGAGCAAGAGAGGCAACACATACCTGTAAACCTATGCTACGAAAAGGTACTAGAGCCAAAGTAACCTACGTTTCAATTTAGTTAGGTTTGTGAGCTTGCAATTGTAGTGTTTTAATAATAATAATAATAATAACAATAACAATACTAATGGTTAATGGTTATTAATTTATAGAGCGCAAAATACAAAAAATCTCTAAGCGCTATCAGGCAAGTGTAAAGATGGAACGGAAATCAAAACCACAAAATAAAAAAGAAGTGAAATTTTAATACCATGCCAGCACCCAAACCGAAGTATGGGGATACGCCCTCATCGCTGGCTAGGGTTCAATCTAATTGAAATACAGTCAGCACCTGTTGAGTCTCGGCCATCTCGGATTTGGGCGCCTCCTATCCTAGTTAAAGCTATAAAAGCTAGCTGGCATGGAAATAGAAAAAAAAAAATTAAAGGGACGAGAATAAGTGGGTCTTAAGTCGTTCTTTGAAAATGGTGACAGAAGGTGACTCACGAATAAATAAAGGTAACTAATAATAATTCATAAAACATACTAAGAAAAGATATTAAAGACAAAGTAACCTACGTTACCATTTTAGCTAGGTTTGTAACCTTGTAATTGTAGTGTGTTTTAATAATAATAATAATAATAATAATATTTATAATAATAATAATAGATTTATATAGTGCTTAATGCCAATAAACCCTCTAAGTGATTCACATTACTACCCACAATCATTAGATCAACACATATGGAACAAAAATTCCATAATATTGCAACTAGTAATCAGCGCAGAAATTAATTTAGAATTTACAATGACACTTACTGACATATAGCAATGAAATTATTACTAATATGACGTTAATTCAATGAACATTTTACACTTTCAGATTTAAATAAACATAATTGTATGATAAATAATTTCTTTTTCAATTTAAGTGGAAGGAAACCAAGGCTATCAATTAAAGGAGTATTACTTAAAGAACATAATCTGTTGGTTTATTATTGCAGTGTTAGAAAGGTGTTCACAGCACCGTCGATGTTTTATCTTTGAAGTTATGGTGTTGTTTCTCTGAAAATATTTAATAAAAAATTTATAGTAACTTACGTTACTTCAGAAGTAACTTATGTTACATAATTTGAAGAACGCATAAAATGTCAGAACATGTTCACCAAGCCTTCTTGTTGTGCTTTTTTAAAAGTTTAAGGTTTGTTTTCTCCATGATGTGAATTTAAGTATGTAAAACATGTGTACATAAAAAATATGGATGAAAACATATAGCTGTATACCGAATTTATTTTGAGGAAAATAAAGCATACAAATTCAAAGTCCTACGGAAACAAAAACAGCATGAATTTATCAGTTAACATATATTCTTTAATTCACTACATTATCGACTTCAAGAATTCATAGTAATTTGGTTATAGTATTGATGTGTTACTATTGTTATGATTGAAATATGAAAATAAATATGGTAACGTATATTACATCAACGTTTTTAGTTGTTATGATTCATTTTTCTGTCAGTTAAAAATTATCAGACATTATATGACGAGTTTAACAAACCAGTAAATTCAGATGTTGTACTTTTATTTGGCAATAATAAAAAAGCGGTATTGCGATATTTTTTTAATGAATTGTCATTTCCTAATCCTGCCGATTTAGTGAGCCTGAGCCATACCTCCATCCAAGCCAAGGTTATTACTAAGACTA